CTGGGCTACGATAAGAAGATCCTGGCAAAACTTCCCTTTTGGAACACAGGCCTGAGTGCACACATGACATGCACACCTGAACAGAAAAGTGGGGACAAATCTCTGATCCAGGTTTGCTTCTGGTGAGATTTCTGGGAACAGCTGCAACCCAGGTCCCCAACTGCAGCACTGGACCCACGGAGCCCCAAGTGACATCAGCTGCCTCTCCTCCCTTGGTGCAAGAGCTGAACCAACATCGCACTCATCCTCTGCCATCTGGTGGTGGGGCGAGTCACCTGGCAGGGGATTCCAAACCCCTTGCCAACATGCACAGCAGGAGAGGAATCTCTAATGTCCTGGACCACACTGACTTACACATGGCGCTTCTCTCCTTGGGGTCTTGTCCTCTCCAGATCCTGTGGAGACTGCATCCTTCTCCCTCCTTGCACTTATTAAGGAGACATGACACAACTGACCGGCAGTGCTCCCTGTGCACGCAAAGCGCTTGGCGTGTTGCTGGGAATGCCAGGCACCCAGAGAGGAGAAGACCGTTTGGTCCTAGGAGCTCTGTCCAGACCCTCATGGCCTACACCTCCACTATGTCTTACATGGTGGGATCGCACTTGGGGAGAACATCTGGAGGGGCCCAAGGTGAGCCCATTATAGCTCTGCGTTACCAGAAGGGATGAGCTCGGGTGTCGCGCACATGCCACTCCCTCTGTGCCCACCTGGCAAGGTGGAGAAGTGAGAAATGAGAGACCTTAACTGGAGCAACCCTACAGTCAAAGCCCCGGCTGCTTACCACGGCGGAGAAGCTCTGCCTGCCAACGCCAGCCGCCATGGCGTCTCCCTACTGCTGGCTCCCCCCGAGTGTTTATTTAAGCCAACACATTGCTCTGCTAATTGGATAACATTGCATGTGAAAATAGACCTTTTAAAACAACAGCAGCAGCGGCAAATAAAAACAGCTGCAACTGCAAAAGTACAAAGGCACGGCGGGCTTGGTGAAGGGAAAATTAAAGGCGCCTTGCACGGGAGAAAATTAATATTCTGGTTTCCGGGTGGCGCGTCTGTTCTCTGCATCTTTCCCCTTCCGTGCGGCCCTTTCTTTCTTCCTCCATGACCAGCCTGGCTGACTAAAGGCAGGAGGGAGCGGCTTCTAAATGGAATTCCAGTGGCTACTGGCGGCTGCTCAGCCACTAGGACCAGACACACCTGGTGGGGGCTCCCCAGCCCACCTGGCCAGGTGAGAAGGCTGCACCCTGGACTTGGGAGGGCAGGAAGGAGTGTGGCAGTTCGTGTGAGGGGCAGCCCAGAGGAATGAGTGGCTACTCTGGGGACTGGAGGGGTGGCTCCTATGAGCTGCCTTCAGGGAGAACCCCTCGGACAGCAACTGTAACCAGCATCTCAGGTGAGGCATTAGGCTGGTGGGAGGCAGTGGGCATGGTGGGTAGAACCGATGAATGACGGGAGGGAGAAACTGGGTTGTTTCCCGCTTTGCCAAGTACTGTGTGACCTTGGGCAAGGGACTTCATGCCTTTAAGCCCCAGTTTCCCCAAGTGTCAAAGGGCCTCCAACCACCTGTTCCCGAGAGTCCTGTGAGGATTAACATGAATGCATGCAAAATGCCCAGCACGGTCCCTGCAAAGGTGGGATTCAGTTGACAGTTTTCATCAATTCAGAGATGCTGCCTTTCTGAGACACTGCTGTGGCTCAGAGCAGCATGGCATCGGTCACGCAAGGCACAGGCCAGGCCCCCGGGGACAGTGCCACAGGCGGGACATGAGCGAGTCCCTGATTTCATGCCATGTCCCATTCTCTTTTGCTCCCCGACCTTGTCGCCTGCTTCCCTCCCCCAGGTGGGGGCGGTTCTGTGAGAAGTGCCGGATCATCACACCTGGAGGCTTAGATAACACAGCTCCTTCAGCAGGATTGACATTTACTGCCTGGGACACTGGGCGTTGATAAAATTCCTAGGCTGGCAGAATTTGCCAGCTCATCGATCTGGCTTTCTCTGAGTGGTGCTCCGGTCCCCAGCACCTGTGACGAGGGCGAGGACCTGGGTCCAACCCCAGTTTACCAGTGCATCTCAGTGCCAACCAGCCTGGGCGTGGTGTCGGGCCACAGAGCTGGAGCCCCGCAGATGCCTGGGGATCTTGAGAGGGAGATTCTGAGCAAAAACCTCCACCCACGGGCACCACAGGTTGGGGTGAGGTGAAGCGCACGTTGAGCGTGCTGCACAGAAAGATGGTGCTCTTGGGAGCCTCTGGCTGTTGTCATCACTTGTCTAGTTCTTCTGGCCTGTGCCACAGCAGCCATCACAGAGCCTCTTGCTAGGAAATGCTCCCTAGTTTCGGGTGTGTGCTTGACCCAGAGGGGATGGACTGAGAGTCCCCAAGGATGTGTGAGGTGGGGTGCAGGTCTGGTGGAGAAAGGACCGAGAATGTGGAAGCCCTCTTCAGGGACAATGGAAAAGGGTGCGTGCTCAAGCCAAGCGGTCACTGATGGGGCAGGGAGCCTTGAAGACTTGACTGGGCCCTCGTGGCCAGCAGGCATGTGGTTGCTGGGAAAAGAGCGCTTTGTGGGGAGCTGAGACACCTGGGGTGGGCCAGCACCTGTCCCTCCAACAGCACGAGTCTCTCCAGAGCTTTCCAGCCCTGAGGTCGTCTGAGGGGCTTTTGGTCTCTGCCTCTCCCTGCTTTCATTTCTCACTCCTGCTCCCCTCCTGTCTCAGAGGACTGCTTGGGGCTGAGCTCCTCATGCAAGTGGATGTCGATGTTCTGACAGTGACTGACTGTTGCTCCTCACAGAGACTAAAGCCTTCAGTAAGGGATTTGAGGGCTGGGTCTGTTGGGTTCTGGTGAGTTCCTAAAGGAGGCTTCCCTCCCCAAAGCTTCCAAAGCAGAGGGAGATTAGGTGAGCACACTGAGAGGCAGGGTCTGGAGGCTGCTCTCCCACTTGCTGAGACAGAGGACGTTGGGGACTCGACTCCACACTGCACACTATTCCCCTCTCCAACTCCCGGCTCTGGAGTGACCGGATATTTACAACATTCAGAGTTTGTGATGTGCGGAGTGCTTGAGTTTATGGGTCGGCAGAGAGCGCTCACCACTCCACTCAGAAGACAAGTTCTTCAGCAGGCCTGGAGGAGCAGGGGGAGAGAACGGCAGCTTTCCCATGAGCACAAAGAGCAAGGGATCTTTGCAGGAGATGACAGCTACGGCGCTCAGACTTTCTGGAAGGTCAGCTGGTTGGCGTGGTGGGCAGAGGACCCTGGCCCAGGGAAGGCAAGGGGCGGAAGAGACGGTCCCCAGGGCTGTGGGCTGAGCCTCATGTCCTCGGCTGTCCTTTCTCTTCCTGCAGTCTGAATGCCATGGAGGGAAGCAGCAACCACCTCCACCACTCACCTCAGAAAGGGCTGTGTGGGGCCTCAGAAACATCATCCCAGCTGCTCTGGGTGCCTCGAAGGCCAACTGGGCATTGGGTGAACTCCTTCCTTGACATGTGCCAGCCTGTGTCTCCGGGGCTCCCTTCTGTCCACATGAGTCCCAAAGCAAAACTGTATTGACTGTGGTTGGCAGAGACTCATGGTGTCCAGGCAGGACGCTCACTCTGGGTCTGACTTCCCAGCTGTCGGAGAGATTGTGACACCAAGCTCTCGGGCTTGGAAGTGGCACGTGAGGAAGGACAGCCTACAGGCTGCACTATGCCCGCTGCTCCTGCCTCCTTCCCTTTCCAGACCACACTACTGCACCTCCATTCCCACCCCTCTGCCCTGGCCAATGGAGGCTGCCTACAAGGCCAGGCCCAGTTCTCAGAATATCACCCCTCAGACCTCCTGACAGCTCTGGAGGAAAACCCTATCGCTGACTCACAAGGGGAGAGCCGAGGCACATGGGACATGAGTCATGGAACATGAGGTCACACAGCAGGGAACAGGCAGTGTGGGATTCAAAGTGTGGGCTCTGAAGGTTGTGCACCAATGACTAGCTCTGGCACTGGCCTCTATGAGAGAGGCTGCTCAAGGTGGAGCGTGCCCCCCCTCCCACTCCGTCCCCAATGCAGCCTCTCACAGGACCCTCAGCACTACAACCCTGGCAGCATGGGCACTGCTGTTAGCCCATTTTACAGGTGAGGAAAGTGAGGGACAGGGAGGGTCAGTGGAGGCTGAGAGGTTATCACTAAGTGTCACTGCTTCCCTGGCCTGTTACTGCAGGATGCTGTCCCTTCTGTCATGGACGGGAAGCAAAGGAAAGGCTGCCAGCCGACGAGAGGAGAAGTCCAGACACACGTGCCACAGAACAGGTACTGGGGTCCCAGTGCCCTCTGCCTGTGGTGTTTCCAGGGCTGCCAAGGCTGCATTGCCCCTGGGCCCCTCGCAACGTCAAGGTGAAACTCCCAGAAACCTCCTCGCTCTTCTGAAGGATTGCTGCAGGGTACAGGGGACCCCAGCCTCTAGAAGCCCCCATTGCTTTGTTTTGCTCTTGAGGACAGCTGAGCCACCCGAGGGGAAATGGCACCCTGGGCTTGGCACTCATGGAGGGAGGGCCACAGTGACCACCCTGAAGTCCCCACAGACATAGCAGGGCCCCTGCTGCAGGCCAGGTGAGCCTGCATCTTGCCCTGGAACTGAATTCGAAGCAGCTGCCTCACTTCAACACTGCTTAGGCGGCTCTCAGGTGTCACCAGCACAGAGCAGACCCTGGCCTCAAGCAGGACAAGGAGGGAATGTCATGCACTGTTTTTCTCCTTTCTGTGTGATTCCCACAGCTTTTCCCATTTCGCCCAGGCAGGGACCACGTGGACCAGAAGCTGCCATGACAAGAAGAGGCCTGAGACCCTGGGACCCTAAAACTCCTGCACAGATGACTCTGCTCCTTCCTCCAAACACAAAACACAGCGTGTTTCCTCTGGGGTATCATATGAAATAGCAGAGTCAGGGAAAAAGAAAACCTGTGTAGGAAAGGGACACTCCTGGACGAAGAGGCTCAGGAAGGAGAGGAGAGAGGGTCACAGCTCACCTTGGCATCCTGCTTAGTGAGGAAGTCCACAAAGCCGAACCCTCGGTGTGCACCTGTCCCCGTCATCTTCTTTGGCAAGCGGACGGTCTTCAGCTCCCCAAAGGTGCTGGAAACAAAGGCAGACATAGGAGTTTAAGAATCGGGCCCTGCAAAGGAGGCAGGGGTGGCAAGGCCCAGTTCTCACCACAGGCAAACGCACCCAAGTGTCAGCACTCCATGTTCTGGCACCCAAGCAGGGCAGCGAGGGAACACTGAGGCTAGAGACCTCGACGGAAAGTTTTTGGTTCCTGTCCATTAGCAGGAGGACATCTGTTCTCTCTTCCTGACGGGGTGACACTTGCCAGTGGACCCCTACCTGGTACGTAAGTGGACAGTCTGGGGAAGTCCCCAGCTGGGAAGTAGGGCCACTCACATTTGAGAGCCAAGGCTCTGGACAAGGGATTGGGCAGGGGTCCCCTAACCTTTCCAGCCTACCTCCACCTGAGCCAGGCACATGGCCACCCCATGCTGAGCACAAGGCCCGTTCTCCCAGCTCCAGGACCTAGGCTGGGAGGTGCCCACAGAGCTGAGTGTTCCAACTACACACAGCTACTTCCTGTAAACCCCACGTCCCCTTCTCCTAAGCTTTCTTTTTGATATCTGCTAAGCCAAAGGCAGGCAAAGCTGTGAAGAAAATGGCCCAGGACCTCCTGACTGGGATCAAACAGGTAAACACGGCCCCCGACCATCCCTGGGCTACTCCTCTCCTCTCCACTGAGCTCAATCTCTGAGAAATTCTTGGACAAAAAGGCCCATGCTTTCTAGGACCTCCCTGGCTTTCTCATCTCACTCTCCACCCCCAATCCCTTCTTGATGTCCATTTATCAGCTATATACACACAAATTGCTACCAATAAATATTTAATGTGCACAGCATCTGAAGAGAGGTGTTATTTTATTTGAAAATCTACACACACTCACACACACACACGACAGTCTAGGATGCTTCAGGCCAAAGACCGATTGGGAAAAAACACAGCAAAGGCCGTAAGCTCTCGTGAAATGATATAAGCTAAATCCAAGGCGTTAACCTGCAGCCCTGCTGGCATGACCAAGCATCTGCCAGCCCCATTTCCAAAAGCAGGACTGTGTGTAAATGCGACATTATGAATCCTCAAAATGAACCCGCACGTCTCCTCCAGCTCTCCTGGCAGCTCCGTGCCCCCTCCCAGTGCCTCCTCTGTGTAGGCGACTGGGCAGGCGCTGGCGACAAGGCCAGCCTCCCGGAGAGGGGAAGGAGCCATACTGTTGCCGGTCAGCTCCCGCTATGAGGAGGCTCCTGACTGATTTGGAGGGCCCGGGTTGGGGACCAGAGGCTGGGGAGGTGGGATGAGAAGGCAAGGCTGGAGAGTGAGGAGTCCAGCCCACAAACGCTGTTCTCTTCTGCCACCTGAAGTCCAACACAGCCCATGACACGCACAGCCTCTGCTGCCTCTGCAGGACAGGCAGGGACACAGTGGGCAGGGTTGAACAGACACATGTTTTCTTGTAGGTTTGTTCAGATCAATGGTTCTTTGGCTCCAAGCTCTGCAGGAGGCCACTGGGATGTGAGGGATGGAGTCTGGGGTGGCCTGGATGATGGAGTTGGATTGTTTTCACTTTCCCTCAAAGTGTGAGCCCAGGCTAGTACTCCATCCATGGGGCCATGGGAAACCTCTGGGGTGTGGGTCCGTCCCCCTGGCTCTCCAGCCACATCTGGCCTCCAGGGCGCAGCTGCCACAGGCTCCTTTCCTAACCTTGAGGCTGGGCAGATGCTACCCTGCAATATAACCACTCACTGTCCCTGACTAGGGCACCGTGGGGTGAGTTGTTTTCTCCTCAGCCCTTCCCCCACCTTGCCCAATAGAAACCACACGGATGTGATGCACCTGCAGCAAGGGTCCTGCTCTTTGGGGATGCCAGCAGGAATTTTTGGAATGAACAAACAGAGCTGCAGACCTGAAGGCAGACACCGTGCTGATAAATCTCACCTCTCTGTGCAGGGTGTGTGGGGGGGAGAGTGAGGATTAAACAGAAGAGGCCAAGATCACAGTTAGTCTTATTGGCCCCATTTCACAGATGAAGAAACTACATCTCAAGGAGGCAGCGGTGGCTTTTGATAGGAAGCAGCAGGATTTGAATGGGAAGCCAGGCACCAGCCCCCTTTCTGCCACACAATGTTTCAAGCCCCTTCATCCCCTGCATGGGGGCAGCCACCTCCAGGAGCTGAGGCTTCTTTCCTCCTGGGGCCAGTTCTGGGGGGCATGGCTGGAAAAGTCTGGAGTATGTAGCCCTGCCTGGTGTGTGTGGTGTGTGTGTGTGTGGTGGTGGAGTGTGTGTGTGCACGAATGGTGGCGGCGGCGGCGGTGTGTATGTGTGGGTATGGATGGTGGTGTGTGTGTGGAGTGTACGGTGTGTGTATGTGTGTGGATGGTGGTGGTGTGGTGTGTGTGTGTCTGGGCTTGGGTGGTGCTGAGGTTAATCTCTCTCCACAGCACACTGCAAGCCGGGAAGCTCTGTGCATGGTAAGCAGCTGTGGTCCGGAGAAAGGCAAGGAAAATAATTAAGGGTGCAGAAAGAAGCTAGTGAGGAGGCTGGTGGGGTTGGGCTTCTGCGGCTTGTGAAAGTGCCATATGAGAGCTCGGCAGAAGGAGCTGTGACAGAGGGACACTCTGGGTCCACCACAGAGGTCAGACAGGGGTGAGGGCTGGGCCCCTTGGGGAGGGCACAGCCCTGCTTTGGGGCTTCTGGACAGATTTGTGACTGGCAAACGAAATACTGTGCCCACAGACTCCAGCAGGTTCCAGGAAATGGACAAGCAGTCTCTTCCTTCTAACAACAGGACAAGAGAGCTGGACTAAGGAGAAGGCAGGAGATTAGGGCTAGATCTTAGAAGGAACTTCCGAGGTCTGTGGGCACTTTCTAAATGTCCAGCTGAGGCTTCAGGACACTGTCATTGCTGCTGTCACCCCAGCTACCATGGAGTGCCCACCACCTGCTAGGCCTCTGAGATCCATCCTTCCCAGGTGTGCCAACCTAGGGCCAGTAGTCTCACAGCCTCCGTCTGACAGATGAGAAAACCAAGGGGCAGAGAGAGGAAAAGTGACCGGGACTCAAGCCCAGGCAAGCTCCTGTCCTCAGTGCCCCGGGAGGACTCTGCGTGCTGTTTAACTGTGGCCAATACCAATGACTGCAGAGAGATATCAAAAGAGAACTAAAGAGAAGAGAAAAAAAAAAAGGTTGGGGGAGAAAAAAAAAAAATCAATGAAGTACCGTTAGCTCCTTGGTGATAAGCAAGGCATAAATACCAGCCATTATGGAGGTTCTTATCTGACCTGACCGCAAGGTCCGCAGGGCCATCTTTAACAGTGGCTTTTGGGGGAAGTTCTGCAGGTACCCTGTCCCCTGGGAGCCAAGGCCATGGTTGGGGAGAGGCTGGGCAGGGCTGCCAGGGGCCAGTGAGGGAGGGAAATCAGGGGTACCTGGAGACTCGTCCTCAGCCCAGCCACATGCAAGGAGAGGGAGCCGCACACACTCCCCACTGCGTAGATAATAGAAACCACAAAATAGCAATTACTGTATCGGAAGCTGTGAATAAAGAGGACAGACCCCGCTTTTAAACACGGCCCTCCTCCCCTCCCCCACCATGCTCACACTCCCGTAACAAACTCACACCTCACTTTTCCAATTATTTCATTCACCCTGGGTTCACCAATTACTCCCCCGCACCACGCCCCACCCCCTCCACCACGCCGCTGACGCATGATTGGTGGTGGGTCTGTGGATTTTCGACAACTGGAGTTTGTTGTCACGTTTCTAATTTCTTCCGAGGTGTGCAGGGTGGAGGGGGGTGCTGAGTTGTGGAGGGAGGCGAGCCAATTACGCCTGGTCGGGGTGAACAAGCAGGGGTATGCAAAAGCATCACACAGGCCCCAGGTGACACAGGCGCACGAACCGTGCCTGCTGGAGGGTGGGGTCTCCTCCCTCTGTGCAAGCTGTGCCCCTGCCCAGCCCTGCACAGCCCTGGCCCAGGCTGCTCCTGCCCAGGGATGAGTCACGTCTCTCCCTCCCCTCTCCCTCCCCGAGTGCAGATGGGCCTGCGGGAAGGAAGCGAGAGGGAAGGTGGGGAGAGCCCTTGGAGAGGCTGAGCTTGGTGATGCCACAGCTGCTCTGGGCGGAGCAGGGGGGACAGGCACATCCCGAGGAGCCAAGGCCCCTCTGCTCCCAGGACAGTCTGCCCATTCTTAATTTGGATCTGTTGGAAGAACCAGCATCGCAGCCCACGTGTGGAGTCACGTGGTGAAGTTGGCTGGCACGGCTTCTCCCCATCTGCGCCTAAGGCATTGCTGAGAGTCAGCACCACCCAAGGGACCCAGACTCAGAAGAAGGCTGTGATCTGAACAAGATGAAAGGTGGTTTTATGGTAAGAATAAGGCGCAGGCTTCCTCTGTTTCTTCTAGAGGGAAGGAAAGAATGGCCAAATCTCTTGGCATTAAAAAGCCCTTCAAATATGCCACCAGTGTCGGCTTTCTTACGCAGCTTACTTGACAGTTGCCAGTGCCCATCCTGTGTGCCCCACAGCAAGCCAGGCCCATGGACATGAACTCAAGAGTTCCTCCTGGGCTGGGCTGCACTCTTTCTACATGGAGAGAAACTAAGTCTGGCATCACAACCCACCACAAGGGGGCGGTGCAGTGCCTGAGGTCCTACAGGCTGAGCTGGGCTCAGGGTGAGGTTTGCCCCCAGGCCTGGGCTTCTGCTCCCTAAGTTTACCTTCTCTGCCCTTTCTCCCAGCAATAAGTCAAAGGCCCTGATGCAAGGTTATAGAGTCTGGAGGAGCTGCAGGGGAGGGAGGCCTCCCAGTCGGCAGGTGGCAAGCCCCGCACTCAAACTTGAAAGAAGGCTCTGTGGTAAAGAGTGCTGATCTCAGCTGAGCAGGGTTAGAGCCAAAGGCTTCTGATCTCTGACACTCCCTCTCCTCCCCCTACCTGCAGCAGATGGCTTCCATGCTGCAGGGAGGTTTGGGGGATGTGGGGATCTGTCGTCCAAACTGCCCACTTTCACTGGGATGCATGAAGCCTCTAGAGAT